TATTTTTAGTTTTTAGTTCGAAAAGATATTTTAATAAAGTAAGAGGGGAACTATTTCCTCTGGTTGGTGGTTGGTATAAATTTAAGATCAACACCAAAGGAAAAATGAAAGGAAAAGGATTGTTTTTTAAATATAAATAAAGTAGAGAAGGTCATTAGGACACAAAATAAACTCATGAAAACAGGGATGGCTTTCCTAGGAGTCGTACAATCAACACTGCAATTCATTCTGGTTTTTGTACAATTAATTTCTTTGCGCCGAAGTCTCTCAAACTTTTAGTCTGGAAATAATAAGCTGACGAGAGTGATATTTGCTATTTTTTTTGAAATACACAGGAGTCTGTAGTGGACAATAATAATTACAATTTTAGTTTTGGTGCTGTAGTACATCATTCTATCCAATATCATTATAATGCACCACTGTCTGAAAAGTGATCTCAAATAGCATTTCAGCCTCACGTGGCTACACAAAAGGGAGTCCGCATTTGAACTAAATGCAAGGAAATAAAGCTCACTAGAATGCAGAAGATTTGTTTAAACAAACATTTTTTTCTCAAATGATTAAAAAGGCAATGGAAGTATGGTCCTTGTTAGGATTGGGCGCAGGGGCACAATGTGGAATGCACATCATGACTTAGTCGGTTCTGCATAGGATATTTGTCGAAGAAAAGTCTGACAAATTAATGCATAAAAGTGGAATTTGGCAAGTCTAGGAATTTATGCCTAATTTATTATTCTAGGTGACAGTTAGAAGAAATCGACAAAAGAAGGGACCCTTTTTTACGATGTACCACTCAGAATGGCCAATTCGATAGAAAGGCATTATTTTATCTTAAGATATTACTTAAGTGAGTAGTTGGCACAAACTCAGAAGTTCACAGATTCTTTAGAGCTAGTCAGAATACCATTCTACCCCCCCTCCCCCCCACCCCCCCCCCCCCACCCAGTTTCCTGTGGTGGTCAGCTTTACCTGGCAGCTCTACAAAATACATTCATGGAAACAGTCTAAGAGAGGTTACCAAGTTAAATGATAAGGCTATATCGGCAACTCACAGGCTGAGGTAATTGCATTGCATACAATTATTCAAAGATAAAGAAGATGAGAGTTAAGCCATTTGGATCAGACTGTGTCACTTGTGTGCATGATGAGTTCAGCCGGATTACAGGATAAACCCATTACTGAGGAATTCACCAACCCTATGTTCCAGAACCTAACACCATCGTTTCAGCTGACCATGATCAATCTGGCCACATTGCTCATAAGGCCAAGGTCACATATGCTCTGAAAACATTGTTAACCACCAGAATGTAGCCAATCTATTGTAGAGATTGGAATCAAACAATGTTTAGTCTGTCAGATAAGAAATTAAGCCTAATTCAATCTCACCAATCTTTAATATGTTTTACATTATGATTTAATAAGCAAAAAGCCTAGTTAATGCTAAATTACAATGATACACTGAACTTGCCTTATAATATTCATTGCCTTTTGATATTCATTTTGGTACATCGTTTGATTATCTTTCATTCAAACAGCTATCTGACTCTGTCTACAACTAATAGATTTTTATTCATTGTATGCTCAATGTTTAAGTAGTTGTGTTCTTGTATTGAATAAATAGTTAATATTAAGTTTGATGTCTTCATTGATGGATTGATAAGAAAGGGTTATAATTTTGCTTATTGACTAAATTAGTTTCTTGATTGAGGGTTGGTAAGTTAAACTCATTCAATCTTAACTGAAAGGTGCAAGATAGCTATGGGGTTACAGCCAGTTCGAAGATGTGAAGTACTTTCAAAGCAGTTCCCCAGTGAGACCTTGAAGATTTCTTGAGAAATTTGTCAGATATCAAAAGGTAAGGAAATACGACAGCATGGATTAGAAGTGGACTAAAGGGCAGAAAATAAATATCAGCAGTCAAGACATTTGTCAGACAAGGACAGAACAAAGATCTCATTATGCTGTGTGCAGTGTAGTTTTATTATAAAGGTAAGAAACTACAGGAATTTTCATTGGAGAGAACCAAATAATGGATATGCCAGGCTGCACAAACAAAAATTGAAGGACTGCACACAGAAAGGAACAGGTGTACACATTAGCTAAATTTTACAGGGAACATTGGTCCAGAAATCCACATTAGGAAATCATCTGGAGTTGGGCTTTGCACACTATCAGAATGGATGACACAGAAAATAGGAAATTGGAACAAACCAGTACAGGAGGAGGAGGAAACAACAACAGGTTAATCATTGGTTAGGCAGATATCACATGAAACCTAATGTGGAGAAATGTGCACTCTTATAAAATAGATCATTACTTTGAAAAAAGGCTTAAAAGGCAAAGTGACAGGGGAATGGAACTACATAAAAGCTCTTTCAAGGTGCCATTTAAAGCACAGGAAGCTGAATGACCCTCCTTCTGCAGATTATAACACTGCCTTCTAAGAGTTAGGACATGGTCTGAATCACAAGGATAAATGGCAGCTAAAGAGGAATAAATATAACTTGCAGAACAAACGGATTAGTTAATACCTAAATTAATTTGCCAGAGAATACAGTAATGAGTACCAGATTATTAGTACAGATGGCTGCTAAAATTAGTTGAGAGGTTAAGGTCTGTAAGCACTTGTTGGAAATGCTTCAAAAAAGGGGGCTGGGAAGCAGCAGCACCTGCACAAGGCTAGAGAAACATCATGATATGAACCAAAGAAGGAAGAGTTCTGTCCACTACTAATAGCAGCCTGATATAAGAAAGAACAGTTCAGGGAGAAGGAGGCAAATCACATCACTAAAAAGACTATTAATATTAACAAGGGGTATAGCTGTGGTAAAAAAACAACACAAGAAATAGGAACAGGAGCAGACCATTGAAATCCTTGAGTCAATTAATAAAATAATGAACTGCTTGATCATTGAAAAGTAGAATGGAGTCAATCTGACCAGACTTTTTTATTTTAAAATCCTCAACTCTGTAATATATCAAAATATCATCTAACTCTATTTTCAGCCCTAGTCTTCCCTTCAGTCTGGGGGTAGCGAATTGCAACAATTAACATAACCCTCTGAAAAAAGTAAGGTGCAGGTTTATATTGACTAATTAAAGTTGTTCAGCATTGTTTCTCATCCACATTAAAAGAAAACAACGTTATTGTAAAACTCTGCACCCTAGTTCTGGATTTCCCCTAGGAAAAAGATTTAAAATGAATGAAACTGAGGAAACAGTGTTAAGGTGCACTCAAATTTACTAATCCTGTTAAGTATGAGAAGTAGTCTAATGGCTTGATGGACAGTGTCCCCGAGGCCAACACTGCAGGTTCAATTCCCACTCCAGAACTTAATGGCCAAGGAAGGTATGTTTATGCTGTGGTGAAACAGTTTAACAACTTGGAAATCCTTCCAATATACTGCAATGGCAGGTGGTAAGAGACAGTAGGAGAGATTCCTGTTTCGCCATGTGACAGAAATAAATCAGAATCTCTACCATCACTATTTGTAGCTTCAGGCTGCAACACAGATGCAACCATGTGTACACCTTCTACAGGTGCACAATTGAAAGCATACTGTCCGGGTGCATAATGGCCTGGTATGGCAAATGCCCTGCCCAGAACCATAAGAAACTACAGAAGGTAGTGTACACAGCCTAAACCATCGTAGAAGCCAATCTTCCATCCATGGACTCCATTTACACGGCTCGCTGCCATAGAAACGCTGCCAACATCAAAGGCCCATCGCAACCTAGTAATGATCTCCTACCTCTTCCCAACCATTAGACTGATGAATGGACTCTCTAGCCTCAAATAATGCTGATCTCGCTAACATTGATCTCACCTAGCACACATCTGTGCAATGTAACCTGTATGCCTCTAAGTCTTTTTGATCTGTACATCCTTCCTTACTGTTGTCTGCCTGTATTGCTCTTAAACAAAGCTTTTCACTTTATTTCAGTACATGTGACAATAAATCAATCAAACCATAGCAACTCTGGCTTCTTGGGTGGCCAGTTGGTTCAGTTGGCTAGATGGCTAGCAGGCTAGCATTGATCAGACTGGCACCAACAGCACTAGCTGATCCCCATTCTGGTTGAGGTAGAGTTTGGATTGGTCTCCTTGGCCTAAGGAACTCATGTCTGTATTGCATCCTGTCTTAAGACAAATTACACAAAGAAAAATTTAAATACGAAAATCAATGAATGGTGGTCAAATTGATTCAGCCTGAGGTTGAGCAGAGCAACTTTAATCAAATCTAGCCCTATAATTTTAATAAAGTGCCCAATACAGACTGTTTCTTCAAGGTTTCTGATGGCTCTCAACTCGACCATAAATGGAATAGGGAATTTATTGGCAACAAAACTGGTACCATAACTTGGTGAAAAGACTTATTATATTTTTCACGAGTAAATTAATAGACAGGTCTTATTCAGTAGGGTGTAAAATGAATGATCCCTTCTGCTCTGGGCCCAATTCCAGAAATTTAGAGGTTCAACACAGTTAGGAAAAAACAAATGGTGGAAATAGAAAATGCACTGAAACAGATGTTAGTTGGTGACACAGAAGAGATGTACAATTTTCTGAAAATATCAATTAATAGATGATTTTCTGCTGTATTTCTGGATAATTTAAGGTCTGATTGCTTGGGTGCGGGTCCGTAAATCCAAAAAAAAAATGCTAAGCGCTATGTTGACGCATGGAACTGCCTACAACTCCAAATTCATCAAACTTACTTAAATTTTAACTAAACAGAGAAACAGCTAGCCAGACAGCTTGTAGGCTGTGGGCTGTAGACCTTCACAGAAATAGCCACAACTAATATAGGTCTGTAACAATAAAAGGCACTATTATTTTTTGACACTTGATTTGCAGGGGCTGGTCTTTCCTAGCTACACAAGCAATGCAAAAAACCTGCAAACTGTCAAAGAAAAAAAAGAGCAAGTTCTTGGAGCAACTGACAGAACATCCCACGCAAAATAAAACACAGAAAACGCACATTTAACCTGTAACCCACCTTCACCAACACAAGCCTCTGTAAGGCGAAAGCGTTTAAGAAGGTCGATGCCAAATACAGAAAGATCACCGGCTCCACCGTGATGATGGTCCTCGGATTCATGTTTGGTTTCAGTACGTGAGCGTGTGTTTTTTTTTGTTTGGATAAAACTAGGCGATAGCGGTAGTTGAAGGGAGGGGGTGGGAAATAGTCATGAAAAGTTTTCTGAAGTTGAACTGGTCTTGGGATTGGGGTTGTCACATGAGAGTAACTGAAGGTGTGAGGGGGGCTGTGCGCGAGCAGGTGCTGGGAGTGGGCGGAGCGGGGCGCGCTGCGGGTGTGGGAGTGGGCGGGACGGGGCGCGCGGTAGGAGTGGGCGGGACGGGGCGCGCGGCGGGTGTGAGAGTGGGCGGGACGGGGCGCGCGGACAGGTAAGCACCTGGCCACACCTGAGCCTGCCCAGGTTGTCCCTCGGGTGGGGTGGATTAAAAACCAGATTCCCCCCCATCCAACGGCCTGGCGTCTCTTCGGCACTTGGGCTGACAACTCCTCCAGCACATCCGTAGGGCTCAGGTTGTGAGTTGCGCGACGTCGTTCCGCTTTGATCTTCGCATTGCTTTTTTTTTAAAAAAAAATCACGTGGAGAAACTTCTTTTTCCATCTTCTGTCGTCGGGCTAGGATCCCACAGACCACTCGTGCGAAATGTCGCTCTGTAGAAGTGAAGAGTCTGACTCATTTCGGTTGCAAAGACTTCCCGTTTTTGGCCAATCTGACGCTCTCGAAAGGATGAGCACGATTTAATGCACGTACTCCTGAGAACATCATCCCCTCCATTTCCTCAGTGTTACCTTCAGTCGCTATACATAACATAGGCACGTAATCAGAGCTTCCAATTTAATTTCAGAATGAGGGTCATCGCTTGACGAATGAAAATGAAAATTGAAAAGAGCTAAAAGTATTGTGAGGAGAGTATAGACAAATGTAATTAATGTATTCCAACATCACACCTCCTCCATGTCTGTTGTTGGTTTTTGAATCTTGCTTTGGATTTGTGCCAGACATTGACAATGATTTGTCGATCTTTCACGGCAGAGTTTACTTGCCTGGTGATTTGGAAGGTGAGGAATAAAATTAACAATGATTTTCAGATTAATCATTAATTAAGCAATTGAAGAAGGTTACAACTCTAATTCATAACACTGGCCCTAATTATAGACCCATTCCCAATAGACCATTTTTAAAAACTAATTACAAAATTGCACCAATTCCACATAGTATGCCAATTTATACTTCTCGAATAACGGTACCTTTCATTTGACAGTGTGTGTGGATCACCCCTCAACATATGAGCATACAAAATAGATGCAGAAGTAGACCATTCAATCCCTCTGGCACGCTGCACCACTCAATAAGAATATACTGACTTGTTTGTGTTCAAATTCATTCCCACTTACCCCCAGTTTCCATTCATTCCGTTGACTAACAAGAATGTATCTACCCTGCCTTACAAACATTTAATGACACATACTCCATCACATTATGAGGCAGAAAGTTCCAAACTATCTGTGAGGAGAGAAAACCTCCTCACCTCTGTCCTAAAAGGGTGGTCCCCAGTTCTGGACTGACTACAGGAGGCAAAGTGTTAGAATCAATCACTTTTTGCAAAATTTAGAAAGGACTATTTAATCTACTTTTGATGTCCTATCTAACTAATTGCCTTACTGCTTTTCTTCAATATTGCGTCATTTGTTTTTCCTCTTTTGATTTATTTCTCTCTTGCACTTTTGCTCTCAGCATGTCCTTTGTACATCAATTAGTTCTGAATCTCTCTCTTTTTCAGCAAATATTTTTTAAGCTATTTCCTCTCTCTACTACTTTTCTGCCTGAATCGACACACACGATGGGTGGAATTTTATGCAGCACATCATGGCAGGGCAGAAGGTGGCCAGGCCCACTTAATTGCAGGAAAAACCATGAGTCAGTCTCCTGGCAACAGGAAAACCTCCCATAATTAAGTCCGAGGTGGAAAGGGCCCAATGAGAGAAACTTGCCTGCACACTCAATTAGGCTCATTAATGACACAATTGACACCAATTATGACAGAACTGACAAGAATTTTGTTAATTCAGGAATTAAATGGGAATCAGAGGCCTTCCCATGACCCTTAATTCAATCAGGTTAGCGCCACGGAACACATACGAGCTTCCCACCAATTGTTCAATCATTGAGAAAGACCCATTTGGGGAATATTAAATTCTGGCCTGTGTTTTTAAACATCGTCCTCAATACCTCCTGCACCAGCCCCCCTTCTAGGGCTGCAGCGGTGATGCTCTGAAAGCTGCAAAAATTAAATGATCTCTCTCCTTACACGAAAAAAATGAGTAGGTGTCGTAACCTTGACGTCAGGATGAAATGCACTAGAAAGGCTCAAACTGGGAAAAGGCGCAAACTATCTAGACGCCAGTAGATTATTGGATAGCAAAAAAAAATCATTTTTGTTTAGCCTCTCCAGAGCTAAACTTTATTTTATAGATCTTAAATGTTCAACATATGAAACCAGCACTTTTTCCTTAGTTTGACCCGGAGTTCTGTGTAGCTTAGCAGCTTGATGTTTGTAAGCTGCTGCATCATCTTTCTGTGTTGCTCATGAGAGTGTAGAAGAAAAATATGTATAGATTTATCACACAATTGGATCATTCAACATTTTCTCTCAATTCCTATTTATAAAACTTCAGACTTCCACATTTTGAGCATAATCTCACAACTACCTTCTACTCTGACTGGGTAAGCAGACCAGAAATGAGGAGGAGGGGCCTATGTTGAATAAGGTTGAAAGAGGGCATGAAGAATGCTTTGTTACAGTATAATATCTTGGACGGTGATAGACTGGGAAACACAGCAAAACAGTGTCTTGTGTTGTGAATGGACCACTTCTTTCAATGTTAGTGACTAAGTGCCGAAGACAATCACAACAATTAAGAGCACATTCTTCAACATTGCAGTGTACTTAACAAAAATGTGGAACTGCGAGTGTCAGTTGCCCTTGAATCAGCTGTTTTCAAATCACGAGCAATTAATGTCATTCTTAGCAAAAATAAAATACTGCAGATGCTGACATTCTGAAATAAAACAGAGAAAACTGACAGTATTCAACAGGACTGACTGTCTGGATGGACAGAGAAACAGAACTGCACAGGGAAATCTATCCAGTCCTGAGGTGATGGGTTTAGAGAAAGAACCAGCTGTAAAATCTGAAAATAGTAGCAGGTTTTGCTTGCCAATGAGTTCTTGCCTCCTCGTGACCTTCTTGGTGTTAGGGTCAATACCACAGTGTATATCACTCTGGTGGTGACTGTTGTATAAGGCAAGGGGTCCAAAATGGTTAACACATGAGCATGATGAAGCTCCGTCCAACATTAACAGCCTCTGGGTGGAGTCAGTCAGGATGCACCTGTTAGTCTGTCTGTTGATTAGTAGGCTGTTAGTCTGCAGCGATGAATTAGCCAAAGGTTCAGCCTTCATTTCTGAGGAGCTGTATCTGTCCTTTATACCCAGTGTTAGTGTAAGCTAACTAGCACAATGGTTCATGTAAGCTGTGTTTGTTATTGCCAAGTAATAATCTTGATACTTGATAACAAACTTCTGGTGAAACTTCCCAATGGTTCATTCTACATCACAACCTACTAACTGCCCATAGACCAGTGCTAAAACAAGAGTAGTGGCACTAACCACCCAAAAGCAGAACACTGTTGTACTATGTTGCAAGAGGTGCCGGCCCTGTTTAGCAATTAGATATAATACTGACCAGCAACCAATTGCTGGAGAAAAGTGGAATACAACCATCAGGATCTTCCAATCTAAAGACCAAAGACCTAAATGTACCTGAAGGCAGCTGCACGGTGTCTGGTCGGAAGACAATTGATGTTTCCTTTAAATGCACGCCCCTGACTCAACACTGAGCTGCAAGGATCAAAATGCCACAGCCACATTCAAATCTTGTAGAGTTGCTTTCAAACTCCTCCAACAACCTCTCCTCCCAACCCCCACTTCCCAATACAAATTAGGCCTGAAATCAGTGGACTTCAGAAATTGCCTCCAGAGTTATGGACATTGCAGTCTCCTGTCTGCCTCAGGGGCACATGTCTCCCAGTGGAAATCTGGTCATTCAGATATTTGGCCTCTGCCTTCAGGAACCTGACCACTATGCGTAATTTGACATCAAACTCAAAGACAGTCTTTTACTTGGCCTCCTTCCATGAGATCACAACTCCCTGTGACCAGCATTATCATTGAGGTTTGGTCCTGTTTGATTTCTTCCAGCAAAAAATCTCAAGGATTGCCTTCTTGAAGCATGGTGCAATTAGGTAGGATCTTCCATCATTTTGATTGAACAGCAATGAAGGAAACAGAAATATAGACAAGATGTTCTTCAGTTTGGAGGTGATAAATTTCTCACTTGCAGCTGGCCTCCCCTCCTAGATTCAGGAAGTCATGGGTTTTGAGGTGCTAAAAAAAAGCAAATTTCAGCTCAATTTGAGAGGTTTCATTTGGTGAGATAAACATGTGATAACATTAATCAGTGCATGTGTTTGGGTTGCTCTCAATGTTATTACTCCCCACACACTAATTGATTTGACTCCAGGACTTGTCAAGCAATGGATTATGCCATACTCATCTTACAATTTACTCTGTGGATTGAGTTCATTTTAAAATCAGTGAACAAGCTCCCTCAATTGTCTTGTGGGTAAATACTTGATGTGTTTTGTCTTTGAACCATAAAGACCAAAGGGGTTCCACGTTTGAACTCTGATCTGTTATTGAGTTATCTGATTATTTTCTGGATATCAGCCAGTAAGCTACAATTGGGCTGTGTGCCTCAGGGCCAGGAAAGGGATAAGTTATTTAATTAAAAAAAAGCCATGTTTAATTTTCCTAATTACTATCTAATGATCTCTACTGGGAAATGTGGACTGAAGGAGTAATTTTCATTGTCAGCTGGAGTACAAAAGTGTTGCTGGTGGATCAATGACACGCTTTATATCTGAATAAAAGCTGAAAGACCTTCAGATGCCATAAATTAGGAACAAAAACAGAAGTTGCGGGAGAAGCTCAGTAGGTCTGGTAGCATCTATGAAGAAAAAATCAGAGTTAAAGTTTCTGGTCCGGTGACCCTTCCTAGAACTCTGAGTTCTGAGAAAGGGTCACTGGACCCAAAACTTTAACACTGATTTTTTTTTCTTCACAGATGCTGCCAAACCTACTGAGCTTTTCCAGCAACTTCTGTTTTTGTTCCACGCTTTATA